ATCCATGGGACCTAATGAAATCCTCCACACCTCCTGAGAGAGCTGGCAGATGAAGTTGCTAAGCTGCTTTCCATCATATTTGAGAAATCATGGCAGTCTGGTGAAGTTCCTACAGACGGGAAAAAGGGGAACATAACCCCTATATTTAAAAAAGGAAAAAAAGAAGACCACAAGCCAGTCAGTCTCACCTCTATGCCTGGCAAGATTATGGAACAGATCCTCCTGGAATCTCCTCTAAGGCACATGGAAAATAAGGAGGTGATTGGAGACAGCCAACATGGCTTCACCAAGGGCAAAGTGTGCCTGACAAATTTGGTGGCCTTTTATGATACTGCCACCTGCTTGGTGGACAAGGGCAGAGCAACAGATGTTGTCTACCTGGACTTGTGCAAAGTGTTTACGCTGTCCTGTGGTGACCAGTGCTGTTCAACATCTTTGTTGGAGACATGGACAGTGGGATAAAGTGCACCCTCTGCAAGTTTGCTGATGACACCAAACTCAGTGGCGCAGTTGACACGCTGGAGGGAAGGGATGCCATCCAGAGGGACCTGGACAGGCTGGAGAGGTGGGCTCGTGCAAATCACATGAAGTTCAACCAAGCCAAGTGCAGGGTCCTGCACCTGGGACGTGGCAAAACACAAATACAGGTTGGGTGGAGAATGGCTGGAGAGCAGCTCTGAGGAGAAGGACTCAGGGGTGGTGGGGGATGAGAAGCTCAACATGAGCCGGCAATGTGCTCTGGCAGCCCAGAAACCAACCCCATCCTGGGCTGCATCAAGAGAAGCGTGGCCAGCAGGTCACAGGAGGTGATTCTGCCCCTCTGCTCTGCACTCGTGAGACTCCACCTGGAGCTCTGTGTCCAGCTTTGGAGTCCTCAGCACAGGAAGGACATGGACCTGTTGGAATGGGTCCAGCGGAGGGCTACAAAGATGATCAGAGGGATGGAGCACCTCTCCTGTGAGGACAGGCTGAGAGAGCTGGGGTTGTTCAGCCTGGAGAAGAGAAGGCTCCAGGGAGACCTTAGAGCGGCCTTTTAATACCTGAAGGGAGCTACAGGAGAGCTGGGGAGGGACTCTTTGTCAGCACGTGTAGTGAAAGGAGCAACAGTTTTAAATTGGAAGAGGGGAGATTTAGATTAGATATTAGGAAGAAATTCTTTGCTGTGAGGGTGGTGAGACACTGGAACAGGTTGCCCAGAGAAGCTGTGGCTGCCCCATCCCTGGAGGGGTTCAAGGCCAGGCTGGATGGGGCTTTGAGCAACCTGCTCTAGTGGGAGGTGTCCCTGCCATGGGGACATAGCGGGTTGGAACTAAATGATCTTTATGGTCCCTTACAACCCAAACCATTCTATGATTCTAAGATTCTAATTATGGTCTCTCTTGGCCATATAATACTATTCCAGGTCTCAAAAGATACTGCAGTGACTGTGTCTTACAAAATGAGTATTGAATTCTAGGGTTCAGACAGAAGACCAATTACCAATCTGCACAAAGTATTATCTGGAATATATCAACAGCTAAACTTTTACATTCAGATAGTTATCATGAATCAGCTGCTAAGAAATAGCTGGGTGAATGGTTAGTAACTGGATTAACATCTAATCATGTTAGAGAGAGTGATGAAAATTTTATTGAGGGATAATTGTTCATCATTATTAGGAACAAAATGCCAAATATGGAGAACAATAATTGATAATTAAAAGTTTTTTGCATTTTAAATGTATTTTTTTAAGGATTATATATCCTTTGACACAAAGTGTGATGAACTTAAAATGAGCTGGCTCTTAGTTTGTCTCTTCTGCAGTACCCAGTTTTTGGTACCTCTTGGCCTGCCTGGTCTTTCTAGGTCTGAATCTTCCAAAGACTTCTGCATGAAGTTAATTTGGTGCATCGTCAGCAGTCTTCAGTCTGGTAGAGTTTTACCAGAACTTGTCTCTGATGGTAAAGTCTTCCAGGCATTCTGGCTATTTGCACAACTTCTTTTTTTATTTTAACCCTACATGAGCACGAATGCTACGTAACATGGAGAGGAAAGAACATCCAGGCACCTCTCTGTCTTGTTCAGGTTGAATATGGACACAAATCCCCAGAAGTGTGGAACTGACACCTGTAGGGAGGAACATCCTGTGCCCCTACAGACTAACACTCAGTGTTCAGCACTGTTAAGAGGTGGTTCAGCCTGCCCCAAGGATTTTATTTTCACCTCTAAGAGACAACAGAAGACAAGTATCTATCTCAAATGCAGCTCTCTATTCTAGCCCAAAATCATAACACTGAATTCGGATACTTTTATCTGAATAGATCACATCCTAGATGAAGTTTTGCTCCTGATTGCTAGGGTTAGAGACTTGTGTTAAAGAGGTTACTGTTATTACAGTGCCAGATTATGCCCCTGTCTTGCACCGGGAGTAAAGAAGCATGGATTTTTCTGCTTCACTATGCATTTTGCATAGAAAGAAGGATAAATGGAATTTGTATTACCAAGGGAGTACAGGTGCTGTTCACTCCCTGCGTTTGAGATACAAACTAGAGGTGTGGTTTGCTTCTTTCTGTAGCTGGCTGCTTTCTGAGAAAGGGGAAACAATGCATCATTTTAAGAACCACCTTTCCTTTGTGGGACCTTTCATGGGAAGGCAGCAGCCCTGCACACATACACACAGCTCAACAAACTGTGGTAGTCTTGAGCTCTTAACGTCCTCACACTTCATGTTCCCTTCCCCCACCAAAAGACATAGCAATGAAGAAACACCAAGAAGTCATTAGCTCAGGCATGGCAGAATGAAAAAAGCATAATTAGCCCCTACAGGCAGTATAATGAAAATGTGGAAACAAATCTCTGTCATGAAAGGGAGATGAATGAAAGGCTGTTGTACAGGACCCATCATCAGCAGGCAGCCTGAAGGAATTTAGATTATTTTGACCAACTCTGGCTGCAAGATGCATTAGGGGCACCCGTGTGTTGGTCTAACTGAGACTGAGTCAGCATTTCCTCTGCAAACATTTACTATGATTTAATAGCCTTCTGGTTGTGGTTGTCAGTCTGGGTTAAAACCTCAGATACAGGGCTTGGTACAGGAGCTCATTCTGTGAACAAATGAACTCCCCATTACTCTGGGACTGGGAGAAGCATCTCTCTGACTTAGCAGGTGGGTGTTGGCTTGGGCCTCTCCTCAGAGCACAGCCCTCCTTTGAGGTGGATGAAATAAAGAAGTTAAAGGTAAAAGTAGCACAGAGGCAGGAATTTTCATATTTTCTTTCCTTTTTATTATTATCGTAAAGTTGCAAAAAATAATTCAAGTACATTACAGGTGAATTTCTGTGTAGTTCTGGGAAGAGGCTAAGTCTATTTGCTCTGATTAGACTTCCCAAGAGGAATCCAGTTCAGCGACAAAGTCACATCCAATGGCTACGTGGAGGCAATGTTCATTTACACAGTGGCCACCAGCCTGCTTATCTGGGAAAAAACCCAAACCATAGACATAATGCTTTCTCCTAAGTAGATATCCCCAAATATCATAAAATTAACGGCAGAGTTCTGAAGATTGTGACAAGAACTACAAAAGTAGGAATTTTTTGTGCGTGTGACAACTACTATTAACATAATTGCTATCATTGTCTTTTATTTATTTTCTTGATTTTTATAATTTCAAATTCTCTCCTCAGCCATGCATGCAACCTCTTTTTTAATCTTAAAGTTGAGATTTTCAGGTAATCACTTCCTTACGAGAGTGGAAACTTCAACAAACAACTCAACAGAACAAGTTACAAAGTGGAATAATGAAAGGCAATAATAGAAGTGACTGAATTTGACAAGGAATTTGGACATTTCAAAGCATGAAAACCAAGAGCCGCCCCCAATTTGATGATAATTTAATTTATTTTTCAATAATTTTGAGTTGGTAGAAAGTAGAAATGGCAAGCAATTAATTCAAAAATATATTGAAACAAAATAAAGTTTCTTTATGGTGTAGAAATGGAGATGCATCTCCATCCTGCTTATGCTGATTTGTTGAATTTCCCTGTTCATAACTGACACACATCCTTTTTTTGCTAACTAATTCATACTTCAGAACTTGAAGTAGTTCTTTCATTAGCAGTTAATAGAAAAATTTGGAAGCTACTGATAATTACATGGTAAAATTAACCCTTAAATGCCTATTTCTCATGGGATCTTTTGTCTGCAGTTTATGTTCTTGGTGGAATGAAGTATGGTGTTGTGGACAAATTAAAATGAGAATGAGGAGACATAAGGAATACACAGTTCAGAATGAAAACAGAGTGAGAAAGTTAGGAAACTTAGGAAAATTCAAAAGAAAGAAGCTAAAAGGAAAAGTGAACTTCAGACTCAAAAATAAAATACAGACACTTACCTTTAATATATACATAGTGGTCTACATGTTATAAAATAATGGTACATTTTTCAGAATATGTCACGTTTTAAAATAGATTTTTAGAAAGATGAGTTAATCAATTTATAGATTATATAACTGTTTAAGTGGCTATGAGACTATGAAGATAATTACCATAACATGTGAATCAGTGCACTGATCTATAATTAGGCTAAAATGCGATATTTTTCTGTTTTATGAATTTGATTTTATTTCTGTTATTGAAGTATCACAAAACTTTTATCTTAAAGAAAAATATCTATTATTTACTCAGGGGCTTATATAAGTGGTATAGACAATATTTGAAGTGGTTTCTGACTGAAAGATTGGTGAAAACAAAATAATAGACCAGCTACCTTTCAATGCAACAGTTAACGCCTATGTCTTTTATTATCAATTTTGGTGAGTCAATATAAGAAAAACATACTTCTTCACATTCTTCAAGAAGGAAAATATCCACAACTGCTGACTTTAATGACTAATAAGTACTTTTTTTAACCTTAGATATATATAATGTTGAAACAGGATGTTTATGCTCAACATAATCTCGTGGATTATATTGTATGATACTTGAATATATAAATATAATGTAAATATACATATTCCTACTTACCCAACGGACAGGAAGGGCTCCTTTGATTCAAGTCTGTCAAGTAAATAATAGAAGTTGTAAATATATATATATTAATTGTCTTTTGGAGCATTTATACGATGAATTTAAAACAGCTACTCTCAATATCAAATTTACTTGGTGACCAATACACAATTTAACAACAATACAAAGGCCTGATCCATTATGCTAGAAGCTTAATTTAAAAAAGGTCCCTTTTACCTAACAGAACGTGGTTTAGAAATCAAATATTTCAAAGTAGCAGATCTAAGCCCTTTAAATTTCACAGATTCAGGTGATTTCTGTAGACATTTACAGGGAAAGCTATAGTGGACAAGCAATTCTTTGTCCTTTTTCACATTTTTCATGTAAATTATTTTTTCTTGATGACCATAATTTAGGGAAGATATTGACTTTTTTTTTTTTTTAACTTTAAGCATAAAATTTAGTATAGGTGTGAGAACTTTGCTGATTTGAGGGCTTCCACATCAATTTTTTTTGCTTTCTAGCATTGTCTTTTCATATGACATGGTCACTTCTTCATCACGAGAACTTCTGACACAACCTGTCACAATCAGCCTTGCACTACTGGGTTGGGAGACCCAGAATCACGCCCACTTCTGAAAAGAGTTGTTAAAAGTGTTGTTGTCCAACTCTCTGCTGTTGCTGCTGTCTCTGTGAGGAGCTGCACCACTTTCACACTGTCAGGAGCCTCTTCTACTACTAGTTTCAACCCAAACCGGGCAGATTTTAAAAACCTTGTCTGTTATTTTAATGTATTTCTGCTCCAGGACCTGCAACTGGCTGCCCTTAATTTTGTAGTGTGTCCTGGCTGCAATGAGTTTACTAATATCAACTGCTTGTTAGGACCATTAGCACGTGCCTTTAGGGTCCTTTATGAAAATAATTAAAGCAAATTTACAACTCAATCACTTTGAGGGGTTACATGACATACAAACGATGCAAAAGCTCTCTACTGTGCTAATTTTCACTGAGAGCACTGTGCTAGGAAGAACTGCAGATTGAAATGCCAGGGATTTAATGCCTCTTCATGGCCTTTAAGAAAAGTGTGTTTCTAACAAAGTGAAGTATGTTGTTTCTGGAACTGAACATTTCCTTTGTGGTGGCCCCCCTCCCATATGAAACAAATTCAGTACCCCAACAAAATACCTGAAATCCTGTAAACGGGACTAATTATAACAAAAATAGTGTAAATGATTTGTCAATGTTTTAAGAACGAAACTTTCCTGCAAGTATTCTTTGTAGAAAAAGCTAGTACGCTTGCAAATATTACTTGTTTAGCAAAGGTTTTGTCCAAAAAACTCACAAACTGAGAAATTTTGCAATGAAGAGAGACCTGGCACTATCCTGATGGAAGACATTCTGGTGGATTTTACTTGCAAACAAAAAGTGTGTGGTAGAATGCCCTGTGGACAAAATAGCGCAATTAAAAATCTATTTGAAATCTATTCTCACGATGGAATTCAATTTGATTTAAATAGTGCTGCTCTAGGTTTGACCCCTCTCTAGTATATTTAACTAAATGGTTTTAGATAATTTGCTGCATTACTTTAAATTAATTCAAGCATTCCTCATAGTAATACAATTATCTGTTGGCCTTTTATTTAAAATGGTAATTTAGTATATGGCAGTTTAATATAAAGATTTTAAAACTTCAACACCATATGAAATAACATCCTGTATCATCTTTACCGATGACATCTATCAATATAACTTATAGATTTTTTACCTTTTTCTTTCTAGCCTGCAGTACACCAAATTATCCAGAGATTTGAGAAAGTTTTGCATAATTAAATATGATATCTCAAAAACCATAACCTTAATAAGCTGTGAAAAGGGCTGTCATACACCTTCAGGAAAAATGTTAAAACTGAAATTTTCTTTCTTGCAAAAATGTATCAAGCATACAAGAAATGCTAGGTAACTACTACAGTAAACAAAAGGAATAATGTTTTAATTATATGGGAAGGGTAATGAAGCTGAAGTGAGCGGGATTTTTCTTTCTTTCCTGAAATTATTTTCCCATCAGAAAATTTCAGTTTGTCAAAAAGCCAAGTGAATATACCAGTTTGAATAAGAGAGAGGCAGGCTAATCAGTAGCATGACTGGGACATGGCAGACTGATGTTGTGTTCCCTTTGATTTTCTGAAAGGTCTCACTTTTTTATCTCCATATAATGGTTAAGTTTTTGCAGGAGGAAAAAGGGTTTCTATACTATGCAAATTGCTCAATTAAAATCAGTCACTGTAAACCAAACAGGCATAGGTAATCAATTTATACCCATTGATATGCTATAGTGCCGTCACACTCTGTATTTAAAATAGGGACCCTAGAAACTTCCCATTTAGTATTTTACCCCTTGAAAACTGTTTTGGAGAGACTTTTTACCAGTTCTCATTAATGTATTTCAATATTTTCTTTGCTGCTAAGTTTGCGTGTATCTAAAGTTTGCCAGTTACCTGAATCCTACCTTTGACATGGACTGAACACGTAGATGGACAAATTTTTCAAGGTTTGCAGAAAAACATACAAGGAAACATGATTAGGCTAAAGGCATGTGAATTCCTCTTTGACTTGTAAAAAAACTCATTTAAGGACAGGAAGATCCCAAAGTAAGCTCCATTTGCCTTGTGTTAATTGTCCTGTTGAGATTACAGGCAAGATGGTTTTTCATATCTGAGGCCTGACCCAAGATACATAAATCAAAGTCGTTTCTTGTTAAAGAATCCTCTCCTCTCCTTCCTAAAACCTATTCAAGGAAAAAGTGGATAACATTTCTAACAATACTTGCACTTTACACAAGCAAATAGATTTTAGCCAAGCATTCTCTGAGGTAAGTCATTACGAATCAATATATTCTTCCTTGTGCTGAACATATAATTTCATCTCTAAGGAATTAGTAAAAAAAGGTGGAATTTAAGGCATTTGTTAGGGTTCTTATTGTGATTTTTTAATATAATAAAATTGTTCCCTGAATTCTCCTTCCTTGAATCAGGGAAACTGATGGTCAGGAATCAAATTTTTTTAGATGAGTCACCATTTTGAGTTAGAATCTTCAAATCAGAATTCCCAAGAAGGATAACCTGAACGTGTTGCTGATGTCACATGTTTTCTGTTTGACTGTAAAACACATGAATAAAGACTGCAGCATTTGGGGGGATTGGAAGAGTTAATACTTCTGTCAGGAACCCAGAAGATTCAAGCTTTTCATTCAAGCAATGTAGGAAAGTCAAGCCAACTAAAAAACAGTTTGGACTTCAGTCACTTCATGAATTAGCTGTGTAATTGCGTTTTTCTTTGCATGTTGACTTCGTAGTTTGAAGGTGATAGTCATTAGTGATCAGAAAACATCTTCCTTCAGAAATTTTTAAGCAGTATTTCTCCCATTTTTGTCATCTAATTCCTTTCCCTTTCAAAGCATGTGCATTATAACTTCTGGTAACTCCCAATATTTGTATAAAATACAAACAGGCTTAATAAATACCTCCTAATTTGTAGAACTATTCTTTCATGTAACTTCCACTATCTATTGAGACTGAAATAGCCATTGCTTATGTACACTACATAACCCTTCCTTCCTTCCTTCCTTTCTTCTTGTCCTGTAATAGTTTTCGTGACTTAAAGTAGTTTTAACCAAAGATAATTTTTCTGGACATTAGTACTTTTTTTCAGATAGAATTAGGGAAGAAGCTTATTTTGTCTTCTGAAACTTCCATAAATATAATTATAAACATTGGTAAGTTCTATTAAGAAGCACTGTCATATTCTGCAATAAATAAATGTTAGCTGTATAGAAGACCTAATTTGTCAGTACTGTTTCATAGGCAGAGGGTATGGAGTAATAATTTACAGCTTTGTGTCAACTTTTCCAATTGTTCTTAATAAATGTAATAGGTTCCACTTCCAGCTGGTGGTTGACATTGCAATTGATGACTCTGGTTAGAAAAACAACACAAACTGTATTTTTTCATGGCCATTGTGTAATACCAAATCCTGTATTAATATGAAAATATAAGAGCGCCCTGGGAAGTCCTATTCCACTGAGCTATATGCTTCTGTTATTTGTTGAAACATAAAAATTCTAGTACAAAATAAAATACATCCCTCAAACCATGGATGCAGACTAAAGTACTGCGAGCTCAAAATGTCGTATCTCAGCCCAAACTTACTCCTTTGATATGATAACTTACTTGGTGGGTAGAAGAAGAGACAGGTGAAATTTAGCCTGATTTTTAAAGCTTGTGATATTGCCTTATATGAGAGTCACATATTCAAGCTGGGAAAATATGATCTTATTACCTTAAGGTAAATATACCTTAAGCCAAAAAACGCCAACGTGTCCGTACACAAAGAACTATGCCAACAGCAAAGAGGGGCACATTAAATACCAGGAACACTCAGTGCTATGTTTCATTTGGTTTTCAAATAAAAGATTTGAACAACAAAATAGAGAATATGTGTGTAAAATAGATGACAAAAAGCTGTTTTTTAAACACTGAACGTAATTAAAATCTGAACATTGTTCGATAAATTGGAGAAATAATCTGATATCAGAGTAAAAAAATTAAAAAAAAAATAAAAGATAAGCCCAGTGGGAATTTGAGAACAAAAACTACTTTATGCGAGTATGGAGGATTTGGGATAACTCTCTAGGTGTTGCAAATAAAAAAAAGTTACAAGAGCACAAGACTTGAGATACTGTTTAGTGTGGGGACATACCAAAATGTCTTTCATCAGAGCTGATGAATCCCTCAGGTGCTGCAATGTGACAGCTCTGGGCACAGCATTTTATAACAGGATTGGGGTAGATGGAAACAATCAAAAGGGGTGCAATTAAAAGTTTAAAAGATGAGAAGGAGCTTTAGAGTGATGGAAATGCCATATATAATGCAGAGGTTATTATGTCCTCCAAGTGTCCTCTGTGAAATTGGAACTTCTACCTTGAAAATATCAGCTGGATCTGATGCTTCCAGCTCTGGGGATTCCTACTAGTGATCTAGGAGCCAGAGTTTTTG